GGCGGGGGGGTGGGGAGGGCGGCCTCCCGGCCATGGGAGAGGTGGCGGAGGAACGGTGAGGCGACGGCGGAGGCGCCTCCTCTGGGGCACCGGTAAGTGTTGGGGTGAGGGAAGGGGCTGGCGGGGAAGGAGCCCCGGGAGCGGGGGGTGAGGGGCGGCGGAGGCCTCTCGTCCCTCCCGGCGAGGCGGCAGCCCCTGCCCCGGCCTCCCCTGGGGGCTGCCGCTCCCTCCCGCCGCCTGTTCCTCCGCCGGAGGTCGGTCCGCTCTCTCCCCGCTGGGGCTGTCGCGATAGTCGCCATCGCGATAGTCGCCGTCCCAAACTCGGCGCCGTCCCCCTTGGGCCGCAACTCCCCCCCCCCGGCTGTGTGTCCCCCCCCCAGCCTTGCACACACCGGCTCCCTGTCCTCCCCGGCTTCAGGCAGAGACTTCTTATGTGGGAGAAGACCAAAAGCAGTCAGCTTTCAATAAATCTTAACTTCTAATCTGCCCCAGCCAACCTCAACCTGCCTTCTTGTGCTCTTTTCCAGCCCGTTATAATGCACCCTGTGAGACCTCCTGCCCGGCCAAGCCGTTTTCTCACCCTGTAGGAGACTTGGATTTGAGTGTTGAGGCGCCTGGTCTTTACCCCACACCCCCACACCCCCCTCTTTGCCTGGAATTCCCATCTCAAGGGGTTTGTTGGGAGGAGGGCTTTTGGAAGTTTGCAAGGGAGAAGGGGCTCCAATCTTCTTCCCAAAATCGGTCAATGCGAGCGTCGCTGCTGCAGAGGGAGCAGTTGCAGCAGGCAACCGACCTGAATGCAGAAATTAAAGAGAGGGGTTTGGTTTGGTTTGTTTTTGTTTTTTTCGTGGAACCGGACACGTTTGGAAGGAGCCCTTTAAGCAGCAAGAGAATAGGTCAGTGAAAAGCAAGGGATGTTAAAGCTGTCACACACACACACACACACACACTATCCCGTTGGAATTGCGCGTGGCAGCTTTAGCAAGCCGGCTTTTTTCTAAGGGACATCACGAGCACGAGTAACGGGTTGTGTTTTGGGCAGGAGAATATTACCAGGACCGTTCTGACAGTTGGTTGGGCTTGCTCGTAGGGTGTATATTTGAATTCTGCGAGGGGTGTACTGGCTCTTCCCTCGGGCAGCGCTGTGGGACGCGACTCGATTCATTTGGAGACACGGGATACCGGTTGGTTGGTTTGTGTGTTCCGTTTGCTCTTGTGCTTAAGCACTAAAGGCTCCTTTCATATAACTGCTCTTTCATTTTCTTAAATACCTTTTATTATTCATTAAATTTTAATACAGACTTGGGGTTCTTTGCATATATATTTAATAAAATTGATTGAGATAGTCAGGCCATCTGGCTAAAAAGATAAAGGTACTCCGATTTTTCCAGCGTGCGCCTTATCAAATAGTTTAAAAGCCTAGCAGAAATGTAGGCTGTGTCAGCCATACCCACATTTAGTTGCCCGCTGTGCACCTTATGTTGCTTTTTCTTCCCCCTCGGTTCACGTTGTTTTACACGAGTCAGACATCACAAGCACAGATCCTGTGGCACGTGAACTACCAAGAACCCAAGAACTGCCGGCAAGGTTGAGGTGGCTTAATGGAGAAGGTGCTGAAACAGGATTTTAGGAGATTTTCCTGCGCCTGGTAAGGAATGAAAATTAAAACCTGCGTTGTGAGAAGTCAGGGAAGCACTTAGGGAGGGTGGCACGAGTTCAGTCAGTTACGTGGCTAGGTAGGGATGGAGGGGGGCTTTCGTCCATATAATAGGGAAAATTGTCATTCTGTGGCTCTCCTGTAGAGATTGCTTACAGCCCTCTGGCAGTCTCAGTCTAACCTGGTCAGGATTCGGGGGATTTTCCAAAGAAGAGGCAAAGGAGCTGCAAGGCCTCCTTTCAGAGCAACAGGAATAGCTGTTTCTCGTTTTCGACTGTGTGAGGACTGTAATTGCCATGTCTGCAAATCTGTCATGATAACTTATCAGTCAGCTGACTGCTTTTGGCTGAATCTGGGGGAAGATGAGAGTATTTTTCTGTGAGTTTATTGGAAATTGGTAATTAGAATCACTGGTCAGATATCCAAACCTTGACTCTTTCAGGCAGCTCAGCCTCCCCCCAGCTCCCCAGTAGTGAAGTGGCATATAATCACCTATCTTACTAATTAGCATACGTGTAGTGACTGGGGGCGAGCAGGGGAGTGTTTGGTTTTGGGTTTTTTTGTCTTAAAAGAAACCATGGTGTGTATTGCGTTAATGATTTGTGACATTTACTGAATCCATTGTGATTATTTGTTCACCCATGGGAAAACTGGGTTCACGCTTTGGCAGTGGGTGATTTCCATGGGCTGGTAATTTAAATGGGTTGTCGTTGAGATTGGGAGTGTCTGTTTTGTTATACAGCATGAGAATTTTGCATCATCTTCAGCCTGGTATTCAACCCGATTCAAAATCAAATTGTGCTTTTCATAGGAAATGCAAATAAACCGCTTTATGTTTCCAGATATGAAGAAAAAATAAAAACTTCATGTGGTCTCCACAAAAGGCACTAGCAGAAAGAGAAGTAGCATGTTTTCTGCATAGGCTATGCTGATTTCGGTTTATTTTACATTTGTGTCAGGGACAAACAGTGGGTTTGGGATAGGCACGAATCTCAGTCTCCATTGAACTTCTCACAGGTTCAGAAAAGCCAGGTCACCAAAGGGTACAAATAAATCTACTGTGTGAGAGTTGGCATAACATTTGTCACAGGCTCAATGTTTTAGCAGAGGAAATTAAATCTTGCTTTAAGCACGCCTCTTATTTTTTTGTTCTTTGTTACTTCTTGTCTCCTGCCTTTCTCTTTTCTTGTGTGTTTGCCCCTTCCTCTTGCCAGCCCTCTCAACTGTTAGCGTTTTTAGCGCTGGAGAACACCAGAGGGAATACAGTAGGACAGCCATTTTGAGCTACGTGCTCGTGATCTATTGTTTTCCCCCAGAGGGGTCTCTGAATACATTACACAGGTCCAGCACTCAATGCGCAACTGCGTTTCACCTCTTTTCTACACCCTTTTCTGTATCTGTTGGAAGAAAACGCAATCTAAACTCAGGAAGCAAGAAAGTTACCGTTGCATGCTAATGGTAAAAAAATGAGTTATTTTGGTTTTGTTTTCCTGAACCAGTAGTTGCAGCATCTACTCAGCCGTTTCTTAGTGAAATGACTGATTTTATACAGGCTAGATCTGCTGTCACTCTTCTAATAATGCCTGTTGTGCACCTTTTGTCATCTTTTCCTCCTGTTTGTTTTTATTCCCGAGCCGTATATTGTGACTTAAATCGAGAAGATCTTAATGTTGTTTTTTTTTTAAGATGTGGGGACAGCGAGGCAGAATTGTGGATTTATAGCACGATGACAATGGTAGGTAGGAAAAGCTGTGCTTGTGAGAAGTGCTGCCGTCCTGGACTCATTCAGTGCATTTTGCATTCGCACATTAAAAGGATCAAATTAACAACTTAACCTGAAGGAAAAGTGCAAGTGGTGGGTGAGAACGGGTTAGATTTCTGGTAGGGTGTTTTCAAACGTTTGATGGGTCGTTCCAGCTGCCCGCTGGCGCGCCTGTTACCGGCTCTTGCTCTCTTTTATTTACTCTCCTTGTTGGTTTCAGCTGTTTCTTGGCAAGTTCCTTGCAGTATCCGAGCTGTACGTTAACGGGCACTGTGGAGCACTCTGCCAGCATCTAGTGGCGCACTGGGTACGCTTTGTTTTTTCAGCTGAGCGCAGCTGAAAACGGGTTGGCAGCAGAAACGTGAACAGAGGGAGTGCTACGAGAGGGCCTCCTCAGCAGACAAAGGTGTTTCTTTGTCCTCGGACCCTCTCAGGTGCACAGATGTCTTCAGCAAGATATCTCAGGGCCAGGAGGGTAGTCTGCCAAAGCAGGAGTAAGGTGGTGCCCCAGGATCCCTCGCTTTACCTGTGCAGGTCCAGACTGGTCCAGTTGCCTTCCTCCAGAGCTGGGACTGGGTGCCTGCACCTTTCCCCACTCCCAGGAAGAACGTCCCATTCTTACATAAATGATTTTTGCCAGGAGACAGAGGTAATGCTTGGCATCACTGTCACCAAGGGAGAAAACGCAAAGGCTGAACCTGGCCGTGATATTTTTAAAGAATTTCTGTGAAGAGCTATTGCACGTTCAGCCCGATTGTGCACTTGGCTATGGTCTTGCACCTTCAGGACCCACCTGCTCTGGTGCTTGAGTACTCCTTATGGAGCAGGGCTGCAGGGTTGTCCATACCAGGGCTGAGCTCGGCTCCTGGGGATGGATGGATGGATCAGGAGGATGGATCCTCCTGGGCATCTTCTCCTCCACAGCGCTGGTGAGACAGGACAGCAGGCACATAAATTTTTTGGTTATTAAGCTGTAGGAACCTTACACTCAACAAAACCACCGCTCCTTCTTTGGATTAGTTCCATCAATAATAGTTCTGCAAGAGGGCTGAGGATTAGATTACACTGATTACTTTCTTTCCACTACAAGTGTTTTGGGCTTTGTGGTGGCGATGCTTTCATAATGATGCACCAGGGTTGCCAGTTCCCCAAAAACATGGCCTCACAGATCTTTTCAAATGTTCAGCTTTGAAAATCAAGCAGAATGTTTCGTGCCTCCCTTGGGCATTACTTTCTGTGCTGAGACGATTGTAACCTTTCCTGTTTGATATCTGAGAGCATCTACCATTCCTATTTAGACTCCCGGACGAAGATGTAGATGACGGAGAGGTGCTTTCCCCCTCTGCCTTGGGATTAAATCTCTGGGTAGCAGGTAAGATCTGCGTGTGTTTATTTGCTGGGGCAGACAGAAAGTGGGCTCCCCGCGGGCAGGCAGACCAAGCAGCGTAGGAGAAAAGGGTGGTGGGTTTGTTGCTTTTTTTGTTGTTAAATGTCTGCCACAGGAAGGTCTGATTAGTGATCTGGATCAGCCCTTCTCAATTTTCCCCATTTAAAAAAAAAAAAAAAAATTAAAAATCAGATTTGAAGAACAAATCTGTTGCGAAGTCAATTACTGGAATAAAAGGATGTGAAAAGAAGGCGGCATTTTTAACACTTCCAAGTATTGTTCAAAAATATGTTGTTTATTCATATGCTAACTATGCTGCCTTGCTCAGGGATACTCCCTATTTCCCTATGCTGCTCTCTTGTCAGTTTAGAAACACTGCTATCATCTCCTCCAGCCAAATTCCTTCCCTAATCTTGTAACATGAGCAAGCAATTAAAAATGAGCATAATTCATAATTACAGGGTATTTACTGTCCCAAAAGCTTAGCAAAAGAACTTTCTAATTAGAATAAGAATATACTAGAATGCAGTATACGCACTGTATGTAAGAAGAATATATGTCATTTTCAAAAATGAGTGACTAAAGTGAAGTGCCATGGTTGACCTTTAAGGAGATCCAAATGGCCCGACTATGAAAGGTATTTAGCAGTAACTCAGCGGAAAATTAAAGCAAAACCAAGAACAGTCTACTAGTACTTGGACTTGGTTGATAAAAATAGCTTGTAAACACTTAACAGCTTTTACATAGTAATGAATCTCTGCTATTCATGAGATAAAAATAACAGTGCCTCTCCATCGTTTTTTTCTTAAGGCCAGGACGTTTCTCTGAGGAAATGGATACTTCTTCCCAAAAATACCCAGTCAAAAAGCGAGTGAAAATTCATCCCAACACAGTAACAGTGAAATATACTTCTCATTATCCCCAGCCAGGGGAAGAGGGATACGAGGATTTTCATGAAGATACTGGAGTATTTATGGAGGATAATCCTAAGAAAAGACTACTGAATGATGGGAAAAAGAGAGAAAGGACCTTTTTTGGTACAATAGACACCAAGCCTCAGCCAGCACAACTGCCAAAACCCAATGAGATTGAGCAATCCCAGCATTTTTCCAAAGGAAATATACTGCAGTCGAGGAAAACGTGGGTAGTCCTTTTTGGATCTGCCGTGGCTCACGGATGTGTGGCTCTAATTACAAGATTGATTTCCGATCGTTCCAAAGTGCCATCCCTAGAGTTAATTTTCATCCGTTCAGTCTTACAGGTGCTGTCGGTTACTGTTGTGTGTTATTACCATGAGCCTCCCTTTGGCCCCAAAGGCTACAGGCTCCGGCTCTTCTTCTATGGGGTCTGCAATGTCATCTCTATTACCTGTGCTTATACTTCCTTCTCTATAGTTCCCCCCAGCAACGGGACCATTATGTGGAGGGCCACCACTACAGTGTTCAGTGCCATTTTGGCTTTTTTACTCATAGATGAAGGAATGGCTTACATAGACATAATTACTGTAGTCGGCAGTGTGTTTGGTGTTTGTCTGGTCATGATCCCCAACATTGTTAAGGAGGAAAACTCTTTGCTGAGCACCTGGAAGGAAGCTTTTGGCTACACCATGACCGTTATGGCAGGTTTGACCACTGCTCTCTCCATGATAGTCTATCGGTCAATCAAAGATAACATCAGCATGTGGACGGCACTATTCACCTTCAGTTGGACAGGAACGGTGTGGGGAGCGTCTACCATGTTCTTACTTCAAGAACCAATCGTCCCACTGGATGGAGAAACCTGGAGCTATCTCCTTGCCATCTGCCTGTGCTCCACAGCAGCCTTCCTGGGGGTCTACTACGCCCTGAGCAAGTTCCACCCAGCTTTGGTCAGCACGGTACAGCACTTGGAGATAGTCATCGCCATGGTCCTGCAGCTTGTCGTGTTGCGGATCTTCCCAGGTGCTTATGATCTGGTCGGGGGAGCGGTTATTTTGGTTAGTGTTTTTTTCCTTGCGTGTTACAAACTGTCCTGGAAGAATTTAGGAAGGCAAGATTATCAGGAGATTGTGGATTCTTCCATTAAATGAATTGTGGTTTTGCCGTCCCATCCTGGCTGCGTCACCACGTGAAAGTAACATATTTCAGCTCTGCCGTGTTGTAGCGTAGTGGCCGGGTCCTCTCTCTCTCTCTCTCCTCTTTAAATTCACAGCTGATGTAGCAACGTTGGTGTTTCCAGATTTCCATGACAGGTGAATTCCTTCCAGCGCGTGCGACCGCTGGCATTGTGTCCTGTGAGAAAAGCCCATTTGTCTCCAGCAGGTGAGGCAGAGGGATTCACCAGCGACTCATTCCTGTGCGCTGTGGTAGTAGGAAAACAAACAGTTTCGTATCCTCTGCAACACTTCTTGAGCTTTGGCTGTGTCCTGGTTTGGGCCGTGTTCTAAACGAAGTTAACGCTAATACTTCTGTGATTAAAACGCGCATTTCCTGTGTGTATAAAGAATGAGTCAGTAAAGCTTTTTGTGTTTTGTGGTTACGTTTGTCCAAATCGATGCAGGAAGTGCAGACCTCCCGTGGGGGACACTGAGACCCAAATATTGGATTTCCAGTTGTGCCACAGCTGTGAAAGAAAGGCTCCCGAGAACTGTTAAAGTCCATGCTAGATAAAAGATCTACCCCTGAAGCTAAGCAATATTCTTTCTATGGAACCACCTTTTCTAAAAGAGGTTTAGACTATTATGCAGGGAAGGAAAAAAAAAAATAAGGAAAAAGAAAAGCTTGCAGGAAAAAAAAAAAAAAAAGGAAAAAGAAAAGCCTTTGAGATTTGAGGTATGAGCAGCAGCTGTAACACTGAACAGGCAGCCACTGACTTTAAGTCGGTGCTTGGGTCCCAATGCTTCAATGAGAAATCAGATTTGCAAAAAGCCCCAGGGTTTTATGGTTCCAAACAGTATTCCTGGCTGGGCTAGTAAAAAGACCAGCATCTCAGAACCTGTGTCCGTGGGCTCCATGCCCACCAGGACCAGCAGGTACCTCCCTGCTCCAGCGGTCTGCGCCTCTGTTCTGGGACATGAGCATTTTCTGAGGGAAAAGACATCTTTCAGGTGACCCCAACCAGTCCAGCTTCCCCACAGAAAACACTGAGGAAAATACATTTTACTTGGGGAAGAAGCTGCAGCAGCAGCAATCGCTTTTATTCCTATCAATACCCAGGGAGACCAGGTTCCCTGACATCAAGTCAGCCCGGATGGCAACGTTCCTAATCCCTGTGACACGTGTGTCCCACTGCCCGGGCCGCACAGGGGAGACACGTTTCCTCGGGTGCTGGCACAGTTAGGGCTGCTGTGACAACTGTTTCCTTTAGGAGCACGTGGAGCTGGCAACAGGAGCTCTGCCCTGTAGGAAGGACGGGAGGAAGGGGAGCAAGTGACACAACGCTGTGCTGGGAAAGCCGTGCCCAATGCCCTCCCAGCCAAAAAGCCCTTTTTGGCAGCTTCAGGCCTTGCAGCAGCAGCAATCGCTTTTATTCCTATCAATACCCAGGGAGACCAGGTTCCCTGACATCAAGTCAGCCCGGATGGCAACGTTCCTAATCCCTGTGACACGTGTGTCCCACTGCCCGGGCCGCACAGGGGAGACACGTTTCCTCGGGTGCTGGCACAGTTAGGGCTGCTTGCAGCAGCAGCAATCGCTTTTATTCCTATCGATACCCAGGGAGACCAGGTTGTGTCCCACTGCCTGGGCCGCGCAGGGGAGACACGTTTCCTTGGGTGCTGGCACAGTTAGGGCTGCCGAGGAAGGGGAGCAAGTGACACAACGCTGTGCTGGGAAAGCCGTGCCCAATGCCCTCCCAGCCAAAAAGCCCTTTTTGGCAGCTTCAGGCCTTGGCAGGGACAGGGCAGTTCCCAGCCCAGCTTCTTGCTGTGCCTCTATCAACTCGTTTCCCTCCCGGGCCGCACAGGGGAGACACGTTTCCTCGGGTGCTGGCACAGTTAGGGCTGCTGTGACAACTGTTTCCTTTAGGAGCACGTGGAGCTGGCAACAGGAGCTCTGCCCTGTAGGAAGGACGGGAGGAAGGGGAGCAAGTGACACAACGCTGTGCTGGGAAAGCCGTGCCCAATGCCCTCCCAGCCAAAAAGCCCTTTTTGGCAGCTTCAGGCCTTGGCAGGGACAGGGCAGTTCCCAGCCCAGCTTCTTGCTGTGCCTCTATCAACTCGTTTCCCTCTGGGGCAGGTGGTCTTTCCTCCTCTGAGGGATAAGACAGTGGGAAAGCTTCCTTCGTGGAAAGGAACCAGGGCAGAAGGCTCCATCTCCTATAGCTTCCACGCCTGTTATGCTCCAGAGGGAGCCAAGCTTTGAACTCCATCATGCCAACGTGCACACAGCCAGCTGGGTACGTGCTGGCAAGCGAGGAGCACCCAACAGCAAGTCCCCCTGAAGGCCCACGCCATGCAGTGGGGACGACAGAGTCCTGAGCAAGCTCTTGACAAGGTGCCCCAGCCCCAAAAGCAGCCAAGCCCCCTCCTCAGCGCAGCTCCCATCCACCTCCAGCATCCATTTGATGATTTTAAAGGTCTTTTCCAACCGTAATGATCCTATGATTCTCTGCCCGAGCTGCAAAGCTGTGCCAGCCCCACCACGATCCCTGTGAGCACAAACTGACATAAAACCAAGCAGACCCCAGAGCACACCACTGCCAAAAACGGGTGATCCCACACAGGCAGCCAGCACCCAGAGGCCAAGAAGGTGCACAATCCCATCTTGAGAACCTGGGTGGTGGCTGGGAATGGTGACTCCTGGGGGCCTACGGGGCTTGGTGCTGGTCCAGCTGTGCCACAGCCTGCACCAGGTCCTGCACGACCAGGTCCACGTCTGCCCGGGTGGTGTCTCGCCCCACGCTCAGCCGCAGGGCGTTCTGCGCCACCTCGTAGGGGATCCCACAGCTGAGGAGGATGGCAGAGGGCCTGAAACACAGACACGGGGGTGAGGGGGTTTAACTCGGGAGGCCGAGGAAGCACATGCATCACCAGCCAGCTTCGCCAAGCCTTAAGGGGGGGCACACCTGCAGATGCACTCCAGGCAGACCTGCTTGCCTTCCAGAGGCACCTCCTCCCACTGGGCTTGTTGCCCCATGGTGGATCTGGCTCATCCCCTTCAAGGAGGAATCTCTACCCTGTCCCCATGGGCTGGCAGCTCTGCCACCTCTACAGGACATCGCTCTAGACGACAGCTAGAGGCCATTTTTGGCTCAGGCCAAAAGCACCTGCTGTCCCCATGCACCCCACAAGGAGCCTGCTGGACCCAAATTGGGCTTGAGCAGATAAGCCAGGCACACAGGGACATAGGGAAGACTCTTCTGGCAGTGCCAGGCATTGAGAGGACCTCCAAGCTCAGCCAGATCACCAGAGCCAGGAGGGACAAAGTCCTTCCCAGCAGCAGTCAAGCGTTCCAGCTGTGACTCCTGCAATAACCTCCTTCACAGCCCTTCAACCCCTCTGGAAAGCTCTGGTATCCTCTTTGCTCCAGGTGACAATGCCCAAAGCCACTCACGGTCCTTTTCCCTGTCCCCTTTCCCTCCCTCCCACCCATTCCCCTCTGGAATGAAGGCCCTGGGCCTGGCAAAGCTGGTTGCTTACCGATCCCCCTTCTCAGAGTGGCAGGCAGCCCCGACGCTGGCGAGAAGGGTCTTGCAGCACGACAGCACCCTCCGTCCTGCAGCACACACAAGCAACGGGTCTCCCAGCGCCCAGGCTCTCCCCGAGGACCTCTCTCATCTCCCTGTGCCCAAGCCACCGGCCGGTCTCCAGCCGCAGGCTGCTGAGGGGGACAGGTGCCTGGCTCCCGTGGGCATCTTCTCGGGGCAACAGTGGGGTAAGAGCTACCTTGAAGGCCTGGGCCCAGGATGGAGACGTTAGTGGTGTTGCAGAGTCGCTTAGAGCCCATAAAGTGGCTGTTGAGGTGGATCTTCTGCTTCCCAAAGGAGGCCTGGAGAAATCGAGAGGGCTGTGAAGCGCTCTGGGGTCATGAGCAGCTTTGCCCTGGTGAGGAGGTGTTAGGGGCAGAGGGACATGCCCACTCTGAGTGGGTATGAGACCCCGGGAGGGGAGAGACAAACAGGAACTGGGTCTGCTCACCTCCAGTCTGGCCTCCAGGTAATCCCGAACATCCCGCATATGAGCCTCGTAGGCCTCCCAGTTCTTGCTCACTAACTCTGCAGCCTGAAGGGAGAAAACCCAGACGAGCTCCGTCTGAGACCCCCCCCAAACACCTCCCTCCCTGTGCAGGCCCCCAGCGTGTGAATCCAGCCCAGGAACAGCCTCTGCAATTGCCAGGTCCTGGGTGGTGTCCCCCGACAGCCTCACGGTGCCTGTCACCACGTGAGCTGCAGCGAGCGCTCAGAAGCACCTCCTTTGACTGGCAGCAGAAAGACCCGTCTCCTTTCAGTTCACCCGCCCTCCCACACCCCGAGTTTGTCACTTCTAATGAGCAGGGAGCATTGCTGGCTGTCCCTGTGCCTGCTCCACCAGGCAGCACCCCCAGGGAACCGCTCACTCGTCACCACAACCCACCCACCTGGCCGAGGGCAGCGATCATTGGGGTGTTCTCGGTGCTGGAAGGGAAGAGGGAGCAGTGAGTTATCATTTCTCCAGCCCAGAAATCCAACCTTGGGACACAGACATTCCCTGCGTGGGACCTCCTCAGCGCTGGCAGGGTGTCCTGGACCCCTCTGAGGTGGTTGGGAAGGAGACAGTTCCACCCTGTGGTTCCTCCCACGGCAAAACCTGTGCATGAGGCTCCTGCAGTGACCATGCACAGATCCATCTCCCCCACCAGGCTGGCAGGTGACAGAGCTGCCACCTCAGCTCAGACTGAGCAACCACATGTGATTTGGCCACCAGCTTGAGGCCCGGCTCTCCAGGACACCTTACCCTGGTCGGAAAGTCCTCTCCTGTCCCCCTCCGTAGAGCATGGGGTGCAGTGGGGTGGTGGTGCCGGGGCCACGCACGTACAGCGCGCCGATCCGCGGGCCATAGAACTGTGGGGACAAACAGCTGCTGTGACCCTGGGGACACTGCCAGGCACCCCCTTCTTGTACTCCTGCCCAAATCTGAGTGCCCTCCAGTGCTGACCCCTGCCTGTCTCACAGGCTGCTGCAGATCTTCCTGTACTCCTGCCCAAATCTGAGTGCCCTCCAGTGCTGACCCCTGCCTGTCTGCTGCAGAGCTGTCCCCACCCTTGTCCTCCTCCTGCTCCCCCTTCCAGACAGGTCCCCCTGACTTGCAAGAACCTTGTGAAGAACATCTTCAGAGCACCATCCAGCAGGAGAACTTTGGCCACTGATGAGGTATCAAGCTACGGGGGGCACCCACAGTCTCCCTGGCACCCCAATGGAGATGTCTTAGAGGGTGAACAGCAGCTGGGACACATGACCAGGGCCATACCTTGTGTCCCACGATGGTGAGGTAGTCCACCCCCAGCTCCTGCACGTCCACGCGCCCCTTGCCGATCATCTGCGCCGCGTCCGTGTGCACCAGGATCCTGGGCAGCCCCTCCGCCTCTCTCCGCTGATTGAGGGCACGGACGCGCTGGCTCAGCTCTGCAACAGGCTGGCAGGAGGGAGGGAAGAGGGTCTGCACCCCAGGGACCATCTGCTCCCCCTTTGATGTCCCCACCATGTCCCACTGGCTGCCCACAGACTCACCATGATGACCCCAGTCTCGTTATTGGCCAACATGATGGACACCAGGCAGGTGGTCGGCCGGACGGCGGCGAGGACATCATCCACCTCAGCCCGCCCGCTTCGTGGGGACACAGCCACAAAGGTGGCTTCTGCAAGCCAAGAAACAAGCCCTGAGGTTTGCTGGGAAGCCCGACAGCACCCAGGGCTTCCTGCACCCCACTGAGTGAGCAGGAGAGCTGGTGCATGAGACAGAGAGTACCACAGCTCTTGCCCTACACTGGACTCTCTCCAGTAGTTCCCAGTCTCTCTTGAACTGGGGAGCCCAGAACTGGATGCAGGATTCCAGTTGTGGCCTCCCCAGTGCAGAGCAGAGGGGGAGAATGACCTCCCTCGACCCACTGGCCACACTCTTCCCTACGCAGCCCAGGATCCCATTGGCCCTCTTGGCCACAAGAACCCATTGCTGGCTCATGGAGAGTTTACTGTCCACCAAGACCCCCAGATCCTTCTCAGCAGTGCAGTGAAGGGAATGGGGACACTGTGTGAGGAGTCAGTGCCTTTGGAGGGAGGAAAAGTGGAACATCATGGAGCAAGCGGGTGCCCGTCCTCCTCCACAAAATCGCCAGCATTAAAACAAAAAGCCCTTGCAAACCCCAATCTGTGGCCAGATGTTCTCGACCTGTCCCCTGTGGTCCCTCTGCTGCTCACCCACTAGATTCTCCTTCGCCAGCTGCTCCAGGGGCAGGCGGATAGAGTCGTGCTCCACGCTCGACGTCACAATGTGTGGCATCCCTCGGCCGTCCCCCAGCCTGGCCTGGCTCCCGCAGGAGAAGTGCCTGCAGGCGGTGTGGATCACCATGTTGTTGGCCTGGGGAGAAGAAGACAGATGGGAAAACGAAGGCTCGGAGGGAGCGCACAGCACCCTTCATCCCCAACCTCCTCATGGAGGAGGAGGTGGCAGGCAGGGGTGCCCAGGAGAGGACACCACCACCACCAGAGAGATGGTGGCTGGTCCCACCTCCGTGCCCCCTGAGGTAAAGATGATGTCTTCTGGCCGGCCTCCCACCATCCTCGCCAGGCTTTCTCGGGCGCTGCCGATGAGCTCCTTCGCCTTCCTGCCTGCGGGAACGAGACCCGGTGGTTCCACCGTGGGCTCCCGGGGCAGCCACCACGGCGGGGCAGCCACCACGGCGGCTCCTCCAGGCCCCTACCTGCGGGGTGGGAGCTGCTGGGGTTGCCCCAGGCCTGCTGCATGGCGTCCCGCGCGGCCTGGGCCACCTCAGGGGCCAGCGGGGTGGTGGCGTTGTGGTCCAGGTAGACCCTGCTGTGGGGAGAGGGCGGCGGGTGAGGCGGGGGGGGC